GCTTGTTGTTGTTGCATCATATAGGTTGCTCACCTACTTGCATATCTAGACAACCTATTTTGATGCTAAGTTTAATTTGGTAAAGAAAAGCTAAAAATTGTTAGTTGCCTATTCACCCCTCCTCTAGTCAACCATATCGATCATTTCACACGTTCAACTCGATGACGTCCCTCGAACTCTTGATCCAACAAAGTGTCAAGGAAGTAGATAAGTTCCATCAGCACGACGGCATGGTGACGGTGATAGTGAAGTGATCCACGCAGGGCTTCGCCTAAGCACTGCGAGAATATGACCGAGGGTGTAACCTATGGAGGGGGGCGTCACACACGGCTAACAGATGTTTTTGTGTTGTTCTAGGCGCCCCCTCCCCATGCATATATAGGTGGGAGAGGGAGGGGAGCAGCAAGAGGGCGCCCCAAGTAGGAGGAATCCTACTTGGGCGCCTCCCCAATTTGGCCTCCCCCCTTCCATAAGTTCCAGAGGGGGAAGGATGGAGGAGGGAGGAGGGAAGGAAGGGGGAGGCCGAATCCCTCCCCCTCCTTCTCTCTTCCCCTCTTTCCTTCTCCTCTGATTCGGCCCACATGGGGGGTGCAGCAGCCCCTGCTGGCTGGTGCGTTTCCCCTCTTGGCCCATTAGGCCCATATCTTTTGTCGGGGGTGCCCGGAAGCCCTCTAGGTGACCCGATATGTACCCGGTACCCTCCGGAACACTTTCGGTGTCCGAATACTACCGTCCTATATATCAATCTTTACCTCTCGACCATTACGAGACTCCTCGTCATGTCTGTGATCTCATCCGGGACTCCCAACAACATTCGGTCACCAGATCACATAACTCATATGATACAAAGTTGTCATTGAATGTTAAGCGTGCGGACCCCACGGGTTCGAGAACTATGTAGACATGACTGAGACACCTCTCCAGTCAATAACCAATAGCGGAACCTGGATGCCCATATTGTCTCCTGCATATTCTATGAAGATCTTTATCGGTCGAACCGTTATGACAACATACGTAATTCCCTTTGTCCATTGGTATGTTACTTGCCCGAGATTCGATCATCGGTATCTTCATACCTAGTTCAATCTCATTACCTGCAAGTCTCTTTACTCATTACGTAATACGTCATCCTGTAACTAACTCATTAGTCACTTTGTTTGAAGGCTTCTTATGATGTGTATTACCGAGAGGGCCTAGAGATACCTCTCCGATATTCGGAGTGACAAATCCTAATCTCGATCTATGCCAACCCAACAAACACCTTAGGATATACCTGTAGAGCATCTTTATAATCACCCAGTTACATTGTGAAGTTTGATAGCACACTAGGCATTCCTCTGGTATCCGGGAGTTGCATAATCTCATAGTTGAAGGAATATGTATTTGACATGAAGAAAGCAATAGCAATAAAACCGAGTGATCAATATGCTATGCTAACGGATGGGTCTTTTCCATCACATCATTCTTCTAATGATGTGATCCCGTTCATCAAATGGCAACGCATGTCTATGGTTAGGAAACTTAACCATGTTTGATTAACAAGCTAGTCTAGTAGAGGCTTACTAGGGAAATTGTGTTTTATCTATGTATCCACACATATATCAAGTTTCCGGTTAATACAATTGTAGCATGAATAATAAACATTTATCATGATATAAGAAAATATAACAACTTTATTATTGCCTCTAGGGCATATTTCCTTCACATTTATGCCCTAGTCACGAAGTAGGATCTGCTTCTGAGTATTTTTGCATCGGTTGGCCCACAATTGTAGATCATCAGGCGCGACTCTAGCAATGTGTGTAGGCCTTTAATTCGCATGCCTTAAAACCCTTTTCATTTCTTCGTCTCCAAATATTTCAAAGGATGGCCATGATCACCGTTGATCGATTTTTATTAAACATAGACTCATGCCACAAATGTTGGAGATTTTGAGGGGTGCCATCATGTAAGCTGCCTAGCTCATCCCAAAGGGGTTTTAGTAGTTGGTCATTAAATAGAAGATGGTTGATGTTCTCATGTTGGTTACAAAAGGGCATGTGAGGTGGTGATAGCTCGATGGAAGCGCCTCTCATTGGGTACCGACGGTCCTTGTGTGCCAGCCAAATGAAAATTCTACATTTGTTTGGCACATAGTTTTTCCAGACAACAATGGCCATTCAATCAGTCGACTGCAAACTCTGGACAACTCAGTTTGCTAGCTTGGTGGTTAGAGCTTTGCACCCTTGCATAGTAATTCTTTTATCAGCAACCCGCGAGTTCAAGTTAACCAAGACCATAGTAATGCGCATATCAATCATTTCACGCCCAACGCGTGAGAGAGTCTATTGGCAAAGTTAAGGTTGAGGTTGGGGTTAGCATGCACCTAGAAAACTAAGGCATGTTGCATGTCGGAGTGAGAAAGAAGAGTTGGAAATTGTTGCCCCAAGGTAGTGGTAGAGTTCGAAAGCCATAGGTCATACAAGAAGGAGGTGGTGATACCGTTCCCGGCCTTAACCGTAGTGATGGAACGGAAGAAGTCCAGCCCCTTAATTATGTCACTCTAGATCAGAGTGTGGGAATTGCCTGGAGCCCCAAGGTCACGATCGGTGGACCAACCATATTTAGAGAGAATCTAAGATCTGTTTGAATTAGTGTCATTCTCGTGAAGCTTGGAAAGATGCTTTAGTAGTAAGCATAAGTTAATGTGTTTGAGAGAGGAGAAGTCTAGACCCCCATGAGAGAATGGTGCACACACCAAATCCCAAGCCACTTTACACTATTTGCCTGTAATTTTTTTCGTGCCCAGCCCAAAAATGCCCTACATCGTTTGTCTACCACTTGCAGCGTCCCCGCGGGCAGTAGAAGAGTACTCATCACATAAATTGGCAGTGCCTAAGCACCGCTCTAACCAAGATCGCCTTGCCAACAAGAGAAAGCATTAGACCTCTCCAGTCAGCAAGCCCGCGGTCAACCTTGTCAATGATGAAAAACAAGTATGAAAATTTCAGTTTTTTTGTAGAGAGAGGTAGCCCCGGGTAAGGTAAGATTGTGGGAAGATAGCAACAATACACCAAGGATATCAACAATGTTTTTGGATAGGTCATCGTCCACGTGTATAGGTGCGAAAGTGATCTTTTTTAAATTTATGGCTAGACCCGTTGCTCCGGAGAATTGTAGAAGTAGGTCTTTTAGAGACCGCAACTGATCGATGTTTGGCTGGAGGACAATGAGAGCGTCTTCTGCATATTGAAGAACAGAGTACAATAAGTTTTGGTAAATGGGGTGGGAGAAAAATTCAGAGTTGGAGGCTTGAGTGACCAGTCGCTGCGACAATGATAAATACATAGGGAGATAACGGGTCGCCTTGGCGTAGTCCCCTACGACATCTAAACCATGTGCTTGACCTGCCGTTAAGAAGGATGGCCGAGTTGCTAGAGGTATTAAGATTTTCAATCCAATTGCACCAAGTGAAGGGGAACCCTTGGCACACATAATTCTAGAGAGAGCGGTCCAAGATACTGAATGAAAAATGTTGGAAGTCCACAATGGTCGGGTTCTCCCTGCATGGGAGGTTCCTAAACATGAGCTCCAATCTCGTATTCAATTTCCTTTAAGAAGTCCACGACAACACAAGTGTTTCTCTCCACTCATCGGAATAATTTGCAGTGATTTAGTGTGGGCTTTGGGGGAGTCCGCTGCCTTAGAAGAACATTGTATCGAACTTGCCAAGGCCTTTACTCTAAGAATATGTATAATGCAAAGTGCTTAGAGAAAAAAAGGCTGATATTTTACTTAAGCAACGATAGAGGTAAAGACTGGTGCTTAAAAAATTGGTTGTTTTACTGAACATTGATCATATGAGAACTGAGCATAACTTAGATGATTAGGTTTTTTGTTGTGGTACTAGCTAACCATGCAAGTCCTAGACTTGGCATAGTGCTCAGAATTTACTACTAGTAGAATTCAGGCGTTTTCATTTTCCGCACGATCCATGAGACAAGACTGTCAATTTCGGAGGATTTTTTCTATGATGCTTCTGTCTTTGGATTCCTGCGTTCCAAAAATGCTTTAATTCACTTGGCGACGGCGACCATAAACATCCATCCATGGACAAACCTCGCTCGCGCCAGTACAAATACATGGACAAACAGGCAAATTTGATAAATTTGACCTGTGGATGAAATCAAATCACAGAATGAATTGCCCATGAAACTATTTCACGCGGCTGACCTTTTTGTGTGACGCCGACACGAAGGCGTCACACTACATTTTGCAACGCCTCACAGATAGGCGCTACACGCCTGGCCAGCGTTGCACCCCAAACTGCCTAAAAATTGCTAAGTCATTGTGCAGAGCCTAAGAGCTAGGCACTGCACTGTATAGTGTGGCGCCTAGCTCTCAGGCGCTGCACTAGTGGTTGCATTACAAAATGAAGCAACCACTAGTGCAACGCCTAGAAGCAAGGCGCTACACTGTACAGTGTGGCGTCTAGCTCTCAGGCGCTGCACACTGACTTAGTAATTTTCGGATCACACAGATGCGACGCTGGCCAGACGTGTAGCGCCCATCTGTGAGGCGTTGCACAGTGTAGTGTGGCGCCTTCATGTCGGACGTCACACAAAAAGGTCAGCCGCGTGAAATAGTTTCACGGACAGTTCATTCTGTGATTTGATTTCGTTTATAGGTCAAATTTGTCAATTTTGCCGGACAAACACGATGACATGGATGACACCGAGGCTTGACCGGACGCGCCAGCAAAGCCGATGACGCACGCGCCCCTGTAGGCCCTTGAGCCCAGTCAGACACGGGCGACCCACACGGCCAGGCCACACCACACCACTAGAACAAACCCACTCTCTTCTTCTTCTTCCTCCTCACTCCGGCTATAAATACTCGCCGTCACGCTTTGGATTCCTCTCTTCTCCACACTCCACTATCTCCATCCCCTTCCACTCGCTCTCTCCCTCTCCACCAGGCGGACGAAAAGGAAGGCGCGGGACGCGAGCTGGTGGTGGGGAATGGCCGGCGCGTCCTCGCCGCCCCCGACGCCCAAGTCGCCCAAGCTGCAGCCGCCGCTCCTCGAGCGCGCCAAGGGCCCCTCCGGCCTCGACAAGATCGTGCTCCGCGACCCGCGCGGGTTCACCGCCGAGGTACACGGCCGCCTCTCCCCCCTCCCCCCTCCC